CTTATTCGGTTTAAGGGCTCACTGAAGTCTGCAGCGTCTGTTCACCAGTAGGTGCGGCTGCAAGCGGGTGTCTGCTTGGAGCAAGCGGCTCGCTATATAAACGTGTATTTGGTTGCGAAACCACCCCCGTCCCCAGTAATGGGTTGTGCGCTGGGCTTGGGACCCGCCACGTAAAAACCACTTCCAGTGAAGAAGCAAGGCAAAGCCTCGGATGAGACCCCCCCTTATGATGACGACCACGGCAAATGTTTAAAGGACTACGATTTGAGGGCATGCACCTGGAATGTCCGGACCCTTAATGGGGAAGGTGCCTCTGCCCGGCTGGTTGATGTCCTCGTAAGGACAAAAGCTGACATCACCGCCATCCAAGAAATGCGTTGGACGGGGCAAGGCAAAGAATGTCTGGGGCCTTGCGACGTCTACTACAGCTGCCATGTAAAGGAGCGCAAATTCGGAGTTGGATTTGTGGTGGGAGAGAGACTCCGTCGCCGAGTACTGTCGTTCACCCCGGTGGACGAGCGTCTAGCCACAATCCGCATCAAAGCGAGATTCTTCAACATCTCGCTCATCTGCGCCCATGCCCCGACGGAAGAGAAGGATGAGGCATCCAAGGATCTCTTCTATGAGCGCTTGGAGCGCACGTACGAGCGCTGCCCCCGTCATGATATCAAAATCGTGCTTGGCGACTTCAATGCCAGGGTGGGCAAAGAAGGGATCTTTGGAACCACCGTCGGAAAATTCAGCCTCCACGACGAAACGTCCGACAACGGATTGAGGCTGATCGACTTCGCCGGGGCCCGAAACATGGTAGTATGCAGTACTAGGTTCAAGCATAAAAAGATCCATCAAGCTACCTGGCTGTCTCCGGATCGAAAAACGAGAAACCAAATCGATCATGTTGTGATAGACGGAAGGCACGCTTCCAGTGTTTTAGACGTACGCACACTCCGAGGCCCAAACATCGACTCGGACCACTATCTTGTTGCAGCCAAGATACGCACCCGCCTATGTGCAGCAAAAAATGTGCGCCCAAATATGCAAGGAAAGCTTAACGTCGAAAAGCTGCAATCACAACAGACAGCCAGCGCTTTCGCTACTCGACTCTCACACCTGCTCTCAGAGAGCACTCTTCAACAAACCGACATATGCGAGCAGTGGAACCACATTTCCCGCTCATTAAGTACCGCCGCCGAAGAAGTAGTCGGATTTCAGCGAGCCCGAAAGAACAACTGGTATGATGAGGAGTGTCAGGAACCTGCAGAGAAAAAAGATGCCGCCTACAGGGCCACGCTGCGATCGGGCGCAACGCGCGCTATGTGGGACCGCTATAGGGATCTGAAGAGGGAAGCGAGACGTATTTGCCGCAACAAGAAGAGAGAGGCAGAAATACGTGAGTGCGAAGAGCTTGAAATGCTGGCCGACAGGAGGAATGCCCGAAAATTTTACCAGAGAGTTAGGCGACTTACGGAAGGTTTAAAGACCGGGGCGCACTCCTGTAAGAACAATAATGGCGACCTAGTAACTGATGTCCAGAGCGTACTTAAATTATGGAGGGAACACTTTTCCGCCCTACTAAATGGCAGCAGCACAGAAAGTTGTGGAGAAGAAGAACCCGAGCCCGCAGTCGATGATGACGGAGTCGACGTTCCACCGCCTGACTATGACGAGGTACGTATAGCAATAACGCGGCTGAAAAACAACAAAGCCGCTGGAGCTGACAGCCTGCCAGCTGAGCTATTCAAGTACGGCGGCGAGGAGTTGATAAGGTGCATGCATCAACTCTTGTGCAGAATATGGTCAGATGAACGCATGCCCGACGACTGGAATTTAAGTGTGCTCTGCCCAATCCACAAGAAAGGTGACCCCGCCATTCGCGCCAACTACCGCGGGATCAGCCTTCTAAGCATAGGTTACAAGGTCTTATCGAGCGTATTGTGCGAAAGACTGAAGCCCACCGTCAATGAACTGATTGGGCCTTATCAGTGTGGCTTTAGACCTGGCAAATCCACCATAGACCAGGTATTCACAATACGCCAAATCTTGGAAAAGACCCGCGAGAAAAGGATCGACACTCACCACCTATTTGTCGACTTTAAAGCCGCTTTTGACAGCACTAAAAGGAGTTGCCTATACGCCGCTATGTCTGAATTTGGCATCCCCTCAAAACTCATACGGCTGTGTAAAATGACGTTGAGCAATACCACCAGCTCCGTCAGAATTGGAAAAGACCTCTCCGAGCCGTTCGCCACAAAACGGGGTTTCAGACAGGGCGACTCCCTTTCATGTGACTTCTTTAATCTGATGTTGGAGAAGATAATAAGAGCTGCAGAACTGAACCGCTCAGGAACAATTTACTACAAGAGCGTGCAATTGCTGGCTTATGCCGATGACATCGACATCATCGGTAACAAAAACCGCGAAGTCTGTTCTGCCTTTTCCAAGTTGGATAGGGAAGCAAAGCGCATGGGTCTGGTGGTAAACGAGGACAAGACGAAGTATCTCCTGTCATCAAACAAACAGTCAGCACATTCGCGCCTTGGCACCCACGTCACTGTTGACAGTTACAATTTCGAGAAAGTAGAGAATTTCGTTTACTTGGGAACCAGCATTAACACCGATAATAATGTCAGCATTGAAATCCAACGTAGAATCACTCTTGCCAACAAGTGCTACTTTGGACTGAGTAGGCAATTCAGGAGTAAAGTCCTCTCTCGACGTACGAAAACCACGCTCTATAAGTCACTCATCATGCCCGTGCTGGTATATGGCGCAGAAGCATGGACAATGACAACATCCGATGAGGCGGCTCTTGGGGTGTTTGAGAGAAAGATTTTGCGGAAGATTTACGGTCCTTTACGCGTTGGCGACGGCGAGTACCGCAGACGATGGAACGATGAGCTGTATGAGCTTTACAACGACATAGACATAGTGCAGCGAATTAAAATACAGCGGCTCCGCTGGCTTGGCCATGTCGTTCGAATGGACACCGACGCTCCAGCTCTGAAAGTATTCAACTCGGAACCCGCTGGTGGTAGCAGAGGAAGAGGGAGGCCCCCACTGCGATGGAAAGATCAGGTGGAGAAGGACTTGGCTTCACTTGGCGTTTCCAATTGGCGTCAGTTGGCACAGAGGAGAAACGACTGGCGTGCTTTGCTGAACTCGGCCAAAATCGCTTAGGCGGTTACAGCGCCAAAAAAGAAGAAGAAGAAGTTACATTCATAAAGATTTAAAGTCGATTGGGAAACTTCCCGGGGTCCGGCTACAAATTGGCGGGCTTTCGTTATAGTGTTTCCTTCGAATTTTAAAAGGTTGTAATCAATACCGTATTAAATTGACTTAGAATCATTTCGTACATTTTCCGGCATTGTTTGTGCTGGTAATTTAGGCAGGAATTCTTAAATTAAGAAAAAGGGGAGCAGTATTCTTGTCATGTATACTGTCATATGTTTGTTTTTCCTGATCCACTTGAAACGGCACAATTTGAATTTTTCTTTATAGTCAATCCGCTGGAACACTGTGCCTGAACAAAGAAAACCTTTCTTCTGCCGAAATGTGCATTTAGTAAGTCGTCCTCTGGCATACAAAATATCAGAGAGGAAAATTTTACCTCAAAAAATAGTAAACCCCAAACAAAAAAGGCTTAGGTACTTAAAACAACCCGAGCGGTACAACTTATACTATTTAAGAGTTAAAATTACACGTTGCTACAAAAAATGGCTGCAAGTACTTTTTATGGCATATAATAGAGGTGCTGGAACAGGTAAGAAAATATTTTGGTAATAGCAGAATTTCAAATACACCCTCAAAATCTAAAGTTATGATAAAAAAACTGAAAATTGGGATCTTGGGACAAATCAAAGGTCATAAATTGCACAGGTTTCAATGCATTCTGATAACCTAATGCTCGTTGAAAAGCGGAAGGTTGTCTCTTTCTGCTGCTTTTAGAAAATTTAAGTTGAATTCATAACCATTGACTGCATGAACCAAAAAGCTTGAGAAAAATCCGAAAAAATAGTTGTGGTGACTTTGGGTCAAAAATATACCCTGTAGTTGTATTAAAACTATGTCTAATGATTTATCTAAAACAAACTAGATTTTCCCCTCTTTTTACGGAAAACACTATGCGAAAAACCACTGGTCCCACAATGTGCCGTATGCAGTTGTCTGAATTTTGTTTCTATGTGTAATAATACAAAACAATTAGAAATATTAATAACATTGCTTACGCAAAAACGGAACAGAACAGACTCGAAGCTTCTGGCACGATTGCTAACTGGGCTGTGTTTGCTTTCAGCACTTGCATTTGCATAGAGGATAAAAAATTTAGGAAACGTGACTATCACGAGGAAACCGTGAAGCATATAATTTCTGAGTGTCCAGGAGGGGTAAAGCTCTACATATTATTAAAGTATCTGTTAAAGAAACGACAATGCTTTTTAACATTGCGTGAAAGCATTGATCGTAAACGTACCTAGCAACGCTATGGACATTATATTCATCTACATATGTGAGACCTCTTACGGTCCGCCTGTACAGCCTAACCTAATCTAGTACCTATACAACTGCAGAATCGTTCAAAATATTATATTCAAACCAACAACTTCGCCCTAATAATTTGTGCATTTTACGAGCATACGTATCCAACAAAACGCCTGCAAGCAGATTCACATAAAATGTGCATTTTCGAAGAGAAAGTGATACGAACTAGAAAATCGCACACCCACTGCTAAACGGTTAAGCAAATATTTACGACAATAATAGTAAAAAAAGTTTAAGCAAGTGATGCCAGCCTCAATTCGGTTGGCGTTTGTGCTATTTTTAACGGCCACACCCAGTCGGTTGTCATACTATTTTTTTTGGGACAGTTCGCCACTGCGGGATGCGCTTCTGTTCGCGGTCCATTTTACTGCTTGAATGTTCAAAGCTAATTTATTTTGATTGTAAACTATTTTCACGCTACTCAGTCGCGCGCGTTTATTTTTCTCTTCTCTGCTAGCTGCAATGTTTTTCAATTATTGTGCTATTTGCTAGGCACAAAACTACGCTGAAGACCCAAGGCGATGAAAAACTCAACAATGTCGTTACAAAAAAAGCTTCACACAAATTTACCGAAAACAAAGCATACGTGTGATAAAAGTCAATATTATAAAACAATAAGGCGAAAACAAATTTTAAAGCGCCGTATTGAACTAAGTAGAATGTGCAACAGCGCATACCGGGCATAAGCGCCTAGAGGTATGCAACAATTTGCAGAAGAAGTTTATGTATGGAAGGCGCAGCAGAAGTGTATTGCAAAAAGTCCTGCACACGTTCATATGTATATGCGTATGTGTTAGTGAGTTGCTGCACTTGTACTTGGAGATATGTAAGTGGTTGTAAGTGCGCACACAAGCTCAAGTGCCAAAGTGTGTTGAGCTTTTACTAAAGGAGTTGCGTGAAGTTGTTTGCCACTATAAGCGTGCTGCAGGGAAAGAGTTGTTAATGTGAGGCGTGTAATTACTAACAAATAACTGCACTTGAAAGCGAAATAAAAAAGCAACAAAAACAACAAATGCTTATAGCTGCTTGCAAATATTAGAAAGCAAAAGTGAGTTGTGTGAGTGCGATAACTACGCCCGCATCGCAACATCATCTTCTCGTCTGGATTTCCTTCTCCGCGCTTACTGCTTGCTCGTACGTTGCAACTTTCAATCTCTTCACGCACGCAGCGATATTTTACGTGTTGCTAAAGTTTAGGAAACTGCAACAGAATAGCATTTTAAATCAGCAGCATCGTTTTTAACTGCCTGTCTTCCACCAACAACGGAGCAAAACTTATAAACTTTCAACCAAGTACTTGTAACAAGCTGATTTGACTTGTAATAACGCTTGCGTACAACTAACTTGCCGCTCACGTCAACAGCCAAGACGGCGGCACCTCAAGACCCATGCACAGGTAATTAATATTTTATGTAGCTGGCGCAAAACTTGTGTCTACTTATTTTGTGTATCTCTTTTAGGTAAGACTTTCACCGTTTGATATGCATCCTTAAATAGCACGGCAACCTAGTGTTTGCGGCATGTCCTATCTACTTTTAATATAGTATCATTTTACGGTAAAATTGCCCGCCATTTTGGCCGAAAAGGCAATGTATGCTCACTACCTTTCCTTACTTTCCTCCATTAACTCTTCGAAAGCTTTTTGCTTTTCTACATAGTACGCGTTGAGCAAAGAAACTTTTGGCAAAAGTTTACCCAAACTACACTTTGTACTTTGCTTGTATGTAGTTTCAAATGGATTTGAGTTTAATTGATTTGCGTTTACATTTATGAAGTCTCTTAGTCATTACGGGAATTTTGCGGCAGAGGAAGTTGGCGATTTTAGGTATAAGAAGGCTGGCTTTTAGCTTAAAGCTTTGGCTTAAGAAAGCAGGGTGTTTTCTTAAATAAAAAGAAATAATAGAAAGACCATCAATATAAATAAAAGAAGAAGATGCATGCCAAATTCCAGATTTCGCTTAATTATACTGAAGTTTGGGGTTTGATTTCCCTGGACGAACTCGGAGTGCTCCATACCAATTCTGTACTGAAGTTACTGTTCAAAGTACAATCTGTAGCAACTTTTTGATGTTAGTATAAGTATATAAGTATTATATTCGCAATTTCATCCCACTGTATTTAACACCAACGAACGCTGATGGCTGTGCCTTCCTGCGCTTAAGAACTAATTTCACTTATTTACAGCCGGAGCAAATACATTTATACATCGAAATCTCCTTAAGTTTATGAAACTAGTTAAGACGTATAACTGCAGTTTCTATTACTTTGTCTGCATCTTAGTTTAAACAGACAACTGTTTTTTCACTTTCTTCCTCAAATTCATTGGCTGAATTTCTTGGCTTACATGTTAGATGTTTTTTTTTGAAATTGTGATTTTTCGATTGTCGAATAAACCGTATTTTTTATCGAACCAGTTTGGTTTTTTACTTCATACCAACCTTAACCTCTCGTTAAAAGTTTTGATTTTTCGAACTTATCAAGTCTTTTTTCAGTTTAAGGGAAATCTATAAATAGTTTTAAAATCATATCCTAGGTTAGGTTTATCATATTTGATTCCAATAAATTAATATTTGGCGCTTAAATGTTTTCTACGTGTTTGGCCGAGCTTCTCTTCCAGTTCGTGTTCTGCTTCTTGATATTTGCCATTGTCCACCGAAGGGCGACCGCTATTTGAAAATAATTCTTTTGATGTTTCTCGTACCAATAAATTGAACAACGGACCTCCCGAGTGGCAGTAGGCACACCTTACCACTCGACTAAGGCGGCAAGAGCACTAATTAAGCCCGAATAAATGTAATACATGGAGCATCGGTGCCCAACCAGTGGGTCGCGGAAGGATTACAGGTGGGTCGCGAATCGATTCTAAAACTATCAGAAACAATTGAATAAATAAACCGTCACAGAAAAAAAACATAAGATTAAAAACATTTCTATCTTAAGGGATTGGGAATAAAGTGGCCACTCAGTTTTATCTGATCGCCACCAAAATTTATATTGGAAGCATTAAGACTAAAAGAAAAATTCATGAATTCAATTGTAGGGGTCATTCTATTGTATCTATGTTTGCTATATTTAATGGTAAATTATTTATGGATATATTAGAAAGGGATGCGATACAAATTTAAATATTTTACTCCACCATGGACCGATGGACCGTGAAGGTATTACGATAGGGAAAGGTGGATCGCCAGTTGGAAAAGGTTGGGTATTAAAAAAACTTTAAAGGTTGGGTATTAAAAACATGAATTTTTTATAGATTTTTATTTGTTTAAATTTTCTTCTAAAAAACATTGAACTTATTTCGCTCTGCTCTTTTTTAAATGAGAACTATCCTTACTGTTAATAGTTTGAATACAATCTTCGGTCATGACTTCATACAAACATAAGCATTTTCACTGCATGGAAAATATGTAAAATAAAACCGGGTTTTCTGGTTTTTTCTTAATTTCAAAACAGGGAACCGGTTTTTTCAAATTGCAATTTTCGGAATAAATTGAAACCCGGTTTTTGGAAAAAATGTCAATTATCTAACACCCTAGTGTATACCCATCTATATATAAAACACTTGATTGCACTATTGCAGCCTAGCAGTTTTATGTCGCTTCGTTGTCATACATAGTTTGCTTTTAACTCTGTTCTATCCGCTTATGCTGTTTAATCCCTGCTAAATATGGGTTCCAGTTTCGCCTTACGATCATTTCATTTTCGTTGAGCGCGTCCATCGAAATTCGTGCGAAAATTTATTTAATCTGCTTAAGAACTCATAAACTTACCAACTTTGATGGCAAATATTTTACTTAAGACGTTTCCATCGCTAAGCGCGCTTGATTCAATTCGTTGGTGATAGTATAGCCAACTAAAGATGAATTTGTGCATTGCTACAGAAGGAGATATTGGAATTTAAGAGTCTTGCGCTTCATTTAACTCTTTGTAAAACGAAAATGGGATAGTTGTTGGAAGGACATATTTTAAGTAACTTCTACACATTTTCATGAACTGGATAGGAAATATCAGGCTTACTTCTTCGGTAAACAAAACAGAAGATTTCAGTTAGCATCGAAAAATCTTCAAACAAGACGTGTGGCAAGGTTTCAAGACCGATTAGATAGTAAGGGAAGGAAACAACGTAGAAATTCAGTCACCGTAGCCTAGTTTTGGAAGATTCTTCTACAACTCGATAGAACTCTATTCGAGCTAGATCGAAAACTTATAATAGCGGTCGTCGGTGGGCAAACACTTCAGACCTGCGAGTGTATTTCTTCGGGAATAAGGTTCCCACACTGATGGGCATACTTACTTAAATAGTTTTGCATACGCGTGTGGTTACTGGATACCCATGTGGATACTTGTTATTTAGATATGCCTAAATATTTAATTTAGAAAACACGGGTTTGTAAGAGTCGCTAAATAAATACTAAATTGTTAAATTCTCAAATATTTGAATGTATTAATGCTGAAGTACAGTACTAAATATCTCGTTATTCCGGACACAAATATAATTTGTTCGGATTACTGGATTTGTCCGGAATATAGAAAGCTGTGTAATTAATGACATAATTATAAATATATGTATATATTTATGTAAAATTCTTATTAGAGCCTTAAAATGTTCACCTGCATATCTTATTGATTTCGCTGAGTCAAGAAAATGTAAAATTTTACATTTTATGTTGCTTCTTTGTCGCTGGCATCCTCTTTTTATTACGAGCTTTAACTACACTTGGTCATCCCGCGGAAATTTCCAATCGATTTTAAACTAACTTCGCGACAAGCTAGAGACTTGAATGGTATAACTCGCCAAACAATAGTAACTCCAAAAATTTACTGTAAATTTTATGGTATGTAAAAATGCATTTTTTTCTTGTTGGCGAAATTATCGTATGTGCTAAGAAATTAGAATGTAGAGACCTTACAAAAAAAAATCCTGTGTTTAGTTATATTTCTCAATTATCTCAGCAACGCTAAACTTGGGTAATAGTGGTGCTAGCCAAAGCAGAGACAAATACAAAGAACACTTTCCTGTAATATGTTGTTTTTGTAACATACGATAAAGGGGTCGATATAGATTTCTTACATTTTCCAAAGTGTTATGTAGAGATGTGAAGCAACAACAAAATTTCAACAACTGTTGTAAAATAACGTAACTTCACGATAAATACAACACCTGGTGAATTGCATAATTGTTCGGCATTTTCGACAGAAGGCCGAAGCCGTATATAAAAAGCAACCGAATAGGCCGAATACTGAAGTCAGGCCGAACCTTCGGTCGGACACTAATACATGCATACACACATGCAAAAATGCAGTTGTAAAAGCACCCCTACAAGGCACGAATGACTAAAATTACAACACATTCACAAGTAAAACTAACACCTATGTATGCGAAAATCTATATCCTAGTTGGACCGGACAGAACAGTGACAATCATTTTACCAGTCATATGATTGACAATGCTGATAGCATAAGAATTTTTTCAGTGACTATCATTTGACCGTCAATGATGATGGAAAGGTAGACCAGGAAAGCAAATATGTACATCATTATAAATCACAATTAAAAAATTCTAGTAGCTAAAGAAGGCGGTCGCAAATTTTAAGCGAGCAATTAATAAAGCAAATTCAAGTATTTTATAATGAAAAAAGAAATTTTATTAATGCTATGAGCAGAGAAAAGCTCGTATTTTTTTAAATGACGTCGAAACCCATCAGTTGTGATCAGTCATATTTGACCAACTTTTATAGCTGGTACGATTTGCCAATAGTGACTTAAGAACCCATCAAGGATGATTATTCATATGTGACCAACGTTTATAATATTGGTGATTCACATGTATAAGTTTTCTTCCATAAAATTTTGCACATTACCTTTAATATTTTAATAGAAACTTTAATACAAAGTAATAACATTCTATCAGTAATAATATTTCTATCAGTATTGCCGTCATTTTACCGGTCAAATGATTGTCACTGTTCTTGCAGGGACATTATTTCATAGATACTGCTCGTTTTCTTTTTTGTCGATTTAAGTGATTTTCATTTTCGAAGTAGCTATACTCAACTATTTGCAGAGAAAATTTTTGGAGCAAAGCAAAGTATTTCTCAACTGACACTCGAGTAGGATGAAATTCTTTCTTCCTTGAGTAAATTGTCCTTTTCGTAAAAGAAGCAGAGCATACTATGCTCGGAAAAACAGTTCCAGAAAGGTGTAGCTTATAAAAGTCTTCATGGCAAATTTCACAAATTATTGAATAGAAGAAAGTAAAACAAGTCAGCTATAGGTTCGTGCAGAAAAAATAAATAACAACTCATGCCAACAAAAAGAGGAATGCTTTTGTGTAGATTCGATGTGACCTTCTCCCCAATAATTCCGCATCCTTCATTTGAAAGGATAGCAAAC